CACTAATTAGGAACAGCTATGGGCTGGCAGGAGGCATGGTGGTTAAGGGTGCTGGACTTCCACATGGTTGACCGTGGGTTGAGTCCCATACCTGATGGATTGTTTTCTCACTTTCTCTTTTTCTCACTCTGTCCGTCTCTGGTCAAATTAAAACAAATAAAGTCAAATAAAATAATTCTTAAAAAAAAAAAAGGAACAGCTGTACGGAGGGCACTATGGGTCTGGGGAGGGGGACACAGCCAAGGGACTCTTGGGTGGGAGATGCTGCTGGTTCTATAATCAGGATCAGGGTGAATACTCCCAGGGATTACAGGGCTAATCCAGGTCGTGTCTGTGCATGTGTGAATGAGCATGTGTGCATGTGATGTGTGTGCATATGCATGAACGTGAATGCACATGTGTGGTATGTGCACCTGTGTATGCTTGCTAAGGAAGGAGAGAGAACAGGCAGAATGCCTCTCTGTTGCTGTTGCTATGGTGTCTGAGGTTTTATTCTCCCTGCCTTTGGACTGTTGGTTCTGGGCTCCATGAGTGGGGTTGCACCCTCTCTGTCACTCTTCCTGTGCTGATGGGCCCAGAGCATTCCTGGGCTTCAGGTCCAGCCATGGCTTATGAGAAGGGGTTGTGGAAGGCGCTGCTGCTCTCAGGTGGTCTGTCCAGGTGGCAATACTCAGGGCTGCTCTCATTACAACTCTTTCAAGCCTACTCTTTTATCACAGGTAGCCCTGCCTCTCCTCGGCTCTGGCCAGGAGGGGGCGCTGGTAATACAGCCTTTAAAACATTTCACGTTTTGGGGAAGCCTGCCTTTTTTCCCAGCTAGTAGGGTTTAGAGCTCCAGGGAAGAAGGACTGATGTCCTGTGTGTGGAGAGCTTTATGAGGTCAGTGACAAGATTGTTCTACTAGGACTCAATCTAGTTTGTTGGGTGAAAATGCTAAAAGTCAGGGCATAAATAATTTCATAAAACCTGACACTTTTCCCTCTTTTCCAGGCTTTTTGACTCTAAAAGAAATGCGCTTCCCCTCCCTCCAGATGACAAGGATTCTAGAATAAGGAAACGTCCCCCACCCTAGCCCTGAGATGACAAGCCACGTACTCACGGGCTCTGTGAGCCCCACTCTGCCAGCACAGGGTATGGTTTATGCCCACTGGACTGCTCTCTCCCACACAGTTGCTGGGCCTGTCTGGTGTCCTGGGATTATCAGACGAGGTGAATAGACCCCAGAGAGTGAGGAAGAGCTGGCCTCAGGTTCAGCGGTCCCTAGTGAGGGCTTCCTGGTGGGAAATCCTTCTTCATGGCTGCCTGTAGGTCTGTGTCCTGAAGGCCCTTCATGGCCTGGAGTTACAGCCAGAACCTCTCTGCGCAGGCGCCGTTCATCCTGTTGGGTTTCCCTGGGCCGCGGAGCCTGCACGTCGGGCTCTTCCTGCTCTTCCTGGTCATGTATGTGCTCACAATGGCCGGGAACCTGGCCATCATCTCCCTGGTCGGGGCTCACCGGCGGCTCCAAACACCCATGTACTTCTTCCTCTGCAACCTCTCCTTCCTGGAGATCTGGTTCACCACGGCCTGCGTGCCCAAGACCCTGGCCACCTTCGCCTCCCAGAGCGGAGCCATCTCGTTCGCTGGCTGCGCGGTGCAGATGTACTTCGTCTTCTCCCTGGGCTGCACCGAGTACTTCCTGCTGGCCGTCATGGCCTATGACCGCTACTTGGCCATCTGCTTGCCGCTGCGCTATGGCAGCATCATGACGCCTGGCCTCTCTGTGCGGTTGGCCCTGGGCTCCTGGCTATGCGGCTTCTCCGCCATCACGGTGCCTGCCGTCCTCATCACACGCCTCTCCTTCTGCAGTTCGCGCGTCATCAATCACTTCTTCTGTGACATCGCACCCTGGATAGTGCTGTCCTGCACCGACACACGGATGGTGGAGCTGGCGTCCTTCGGAATCGCCTTCTGTGTCATCCTGGGGTCCTGCTTTATCACGCTGGTCTCCTACGCCTACATCATTGCCACCATCGTGAGGATCCCTTCGGCGCAGGGCCGGCACCGGGCCTTCTCCACCTGCTCGTCACATCTCACTGTCGTGCTCATTTGGTACGGCTCCACCATCTTTCTGCACGTGAGGACTTCGGTGGAGAGCTCACTGGACCTGACCAAGGGCATCACAGTGCTCAACACCATTGTCACCCCGGTGCTGAACCCTTTCATATACACCCTGAGGAACAAGGACGTGAAAGAAGCTCTTCGGAGGACAGTCCAGGGCAAGTGAGCTAGGGAGGACATTGTAGCCCACTGGCTCCTACCCTGGCCAGGTGGCAGTTTTTTATTCATCTCAAAGGCCTTTTTAAGGGAGGCTTGCCCTCGGATTCCAGGCACAGTTTCTGGGGACATGTGGCCCCCAGGAAGTGCCTCCTTGTGGTACTGGCTGTGCCCCCTGTAGTTGCAGACACCAACTGCTCACCAAGCACTAGGCACTGAGGCAGCCTGTGGACCCCCCCCC